TACAAATCAAGGAACCCTTAAAAGAAAATATCCTGTCAATTTGCCAATGAGGAACTGAAATTTTCAAACACACGATGTAATATGCAAGATTTCGTTTTTCCTTTCTCTAATTAATTAATGTCAATACTATATCATCAAAGAATTGTCCTTCGTGGGGTGGATTGCATTCTCTTACGAGTTTCACTTAATTGTCAATATTTTAAACAATATACCAGATCCTCATTCACAGGTAGGAACCAGAGAGTATTCTTGATTGTAATGTGGAATTTTGACAGGAATTCGAGCATGCACACAATTGTAGATACAGCCTATCATGGAAAGAAATGTTGGAAAAAGAAAACAAGGGCCAGCTCCAAATACAGACCTAAAATATAAACCATCACCTCACTTGCTTCACTCCACCAAGCATAAATGTACATGAGAATAATGGTAAATAAAAATGATAATATGGGCATCTTAAAAGATAAAATGGTGAAGGAAACATACTTTATCAGTGTCAACTTCTGCAATGATCTCTTTAATTGTTTTCTCATCATCCATGTTATACCTCTTCAGGGCTTGTTCCAACTCATCCACTGTAATGTACCTAAATCAAGGAGAAAGAGAAAAAACTGAAAAACTTGACCAGAATGTCAAAGATAGTTTATAAGACAAAGTTAGACGAAAGGTATGACTGATTACCCGCTACTATCTTTGTCAAAGTATTGGAAAGCAGTAAATAAGTGGTCCTCTCTTTCCATTCTGTTCATGTGCATGGTGGCTGTTATAAACTCAATGTAATCAATTGTGCCATTCCCATCGACATCAGCCTGAAACAAGCAATTAAATATTGCGTCACAAGATGTTCAAAGCATCAGATATGTTTTAATGTCTTATGGAATCATTTCCATTCTAGAACAGAGCATAGAGCTTGAGTTAACGTACGGCTACCAGCCTTACACAAGACACTAATCAGTGATGATCAGGTTCCACAAGGGAAATAATCATGATATGAAAATATTCTTGGTGCAACTCTTGAATAAATTATTGAGAAGATATTGGGTAAATATGAAAGAGAGAGAAAGATAACATTACCGCATCCAATAACTGCCTCACTTCAGACTCAGAAAGTTTGGTGCCAAGTTTAGGAAAACCAGCTTTTAACTCCTCCAAGGTGACTGTTCCACTATTATCTGTATCCATGGATTTGAACATTTCCTTCAAGCCCACGATTTCTTCTTCAGAAAGGTTTTCTGCAATTACCTGGAAGGAAAGAAAAAAAACCCATAATCCAGTTTAAGATAAGAATGAGGATCATGACTGTGTCAGAGTATCATCAACCATCAAAATATGGGATGGAAGAGGCAGCAGTTTTCCCATAAAAAAATAAAACAATCCACTACTTCAGCACTTTAAAATTTAGCTTCTCACCTTTAGGGCAACCTTTTTGAGTTTGTTCATTGCACTGAATTGTTTCATTCTAGTTAAGACAGCAATATCAAGAGGCTTATCAGATGCATCACCATCTTCTCGCATCCATGAATGATCTGCATTACATGTTCATTGGCTGAGCTTTGTCTCCAATTTTACAGAATGACAAGCAGTATCATAATTTAAAGTGAGCAATTTTAGGTCTTCTGCTAATGGCTTCATTATCCTTTAGAAGAGAACGCAATAGAAATTAATCTGCAAGAACATGCCAGCATAGGTCTTTCAGAGAAAAGAAACTTACTTAACACATCAACTGCTGAAAGCCGCTCCTTAGGATTAGCTTTTAGCATCTTCCTCACAAGATCAATGGCACTTCTGGAAATGGAAGACCATAAATTGGATGAGAAATCAAGATGTCCCCTCAGAATAGCTTGAAAGATACCCTCTTCATTTTCTACATTTGAAAAAAACACAGTGATGCCATTAAGCATTAATTCATTTTAATTATATTTATAAACTGAAGTTATGAGAGGTAAAATTCTAAATTTCAGAAATTTCCCAACTTCGAGAAAATGATGTCATTGATATCATTAGGATGTTATGCATAGTCATTAACTGACATGGTAGCAATACCTGCCCAGAATGGGGGCTCCCCACAAAGGAGAATATAAAGGATCACCCCAGCACTCCAAATATCAGCTTCAGCTCCATAATTGTGTCGTAATACTTCAGGAGCTACATAATAAGAACTTCCAACCAGATCTTTGAACACATCACCTGCACTAGCACAAAATTGGTATTAGTTCAAATACACTTTAAGTAGAACTTCAAATTCAAGGTCACGACGAAAGCATGTCACCATCACCATATAGAACTTACCAAATGCAACAGCAAATGACAGGCAAAGCTTGACAATTTATTCAGTTGCCAACATTTTATTAGGGATAGAAAAAAGTGATCTCTAATCCAAAGTATTTGATGTGTATATCAAAAAGGGTTGCAATAACACAAGGAGAATAGTTGTTTTCTTTCCCACTTTGATATCATTAATACAGCATAGTTAAGTGCTAGTTCTCTTTTAAGCATATATTTCTCCAATTCTCAAGCATGATGTTAAAATGGTGACTGCAACTTTACTAATAGCCCAAAAATCATGAAACAGATAAAAGAGAAATCACAATTACCTGGCTTGAAAAACACAGAGAGTCCAAAATCTGTAGCCTTTAATGGCGAATCATCATCCTTGTTCAATAATAGGAAATTCTCAGGCTTTAAATCCCTGTGCATTACCCCCATTGTATGACAATTGTACACCACTGTCACAATCTGCCTGAACAACTTCGCTGCCTCTTTCTCAGAATAATGCCCCTTAGCTATGATCCGATCGAACAACTCCCCTCCGGCACATAGCTCCATCACCAAATTCACAGAGTGTCGATCTTCATAAACCCCCTTCAGCTCCACAATATTACTGCAATCTCAATCAGTTCAATTAAGTTCGGAATTACATGTAAATCCCAACCGAATCAGATGAAATCAAGAGAATTTTTACGGGTACCTATGGCCAGTGAGATGGTGCATGATCTGCACCTCGCGACGGACATCTTCAATGTCATCACGTCTAACGAGTTTGCGAGTGGCGATGGATTTGCAAGCGAATTCCTGTCCCGTTTCTTTGTGGGTGACCAAGTGGGTAACGCCGAACTGGCCTCGGCCGAGCTCGCGGCCGAAGGTGTAGATGGAACGGACATTTTCCATGGGACGACCTAGGATGCGGCCGATGCCGGATTTTCCAGTGGTTCCGGTGCGATGGTCAGCTCGGGAGGAGCGATGGGCGCCATTAGCTGAATCGGAGTCCGGTGAGTGATGCCATGGAGTCGACAGCCGGCTACTGCGGTGGCCCATTTTGGTCAATGCAGGCGAGAGAGAAAGCAGAGGTTTTTACTTTTTATGAGATACTCTGAAGACAAAATATTCAACGGAAAGGAGAAGTAATATTTTAGTTAATGATGGTATTTACGACCCAATCACCTCATTCCCTCATTATTACAACTTTACCATTCTTGATTTTTTTTTTTTTTTTGGTTATTACCATTCTTGAATTTTAATAGTAGTAAAAAGTTTAGATAGAGACATGGATTTTATAATTTTTTTATTTAGGTTAAAATTTTATTTTAGTCCCTAAATTAGTATATGGACCATTAATTTAGTCTCTAAATTTAAAAAAATTTTAATTTGATCCTTATTATTTATCAATTTTACTCAACTTGATTCTTTCGTTAAAAATCTATCATTAACTCATAAGGAATTAATGACATATTATGAAACACTTGAATAAAAATGATGACATGTTACATTCTTGCCTAATGCAAAAGAAAAAAGTGAAGCCCACAAAAATTACAATTTTACCCTCATCTTCTTTCGTCAACATTTTCTTTCATCAACATCCTCTTTCTCAAATCTTCTTCATTCATCCTTCTTTTTCTCCCTCTTTGCCTCCTCCGAATCAACTTTTATCATCATTTTTTTGAATTAAACAATTAATTCAATGAAATAAAATTGCATTCTTCATCAATCAATTCTTCATCATCATAAAACAACAAAACCCATAAAAAAAAGAATTTTTTTCTAATTTTTTGCCCCCTAGGTTCCAAGGAACTTGCGCCTGGGTTCCATTGAACCCAATGTCTCGGTTCCAAGGGGAAAGAGAAAGGGAAAGATAAGGAAAAAGAAAAAAAAAGAAAGAATTTTTTAAGTTTTATTTTTCATATTAATTTTTTTTATATTATTATTTTTTCCATGTCATTGTTTTTTGTCATGTTATCTTCCACGTGTATTAATATTTTATCATGTCATCATATAGCCATGAATTAACAAGATACGTCATGAGGATTTTAACGAAAAGACTAAGTTAGAGTTAAAATGGTAAATAAGGACCCAATCAAGGATTTTTTAAGTTTATGAATCCAATTAAGGGTCCATACAATAATTTATGACCAAATCAGGTTTTAACCTTTATTTTAAATTTTTTTTTTCTTTTGTGCCCCTATGGCTTAGGTTAAAGGCACTATTTTATAATAAATTTATATAAAAAACTATAAAAATAGATATTAATTTTAGAGTTAATGCCACATGAGTAAATTTAATTAGATAATTAATAAATTAAATAGTATTTTTATTTTTTCAAGACTCTTAATGGTACAATTTAAAAAACTCTTAAAGATAAATAGTTTTTAATTCTTCATGTTATAGATAGAGTGATTCCACTTTGTCCCTAACTGAAAACATCACTGGGAGATTTGAGTTTCAACTCTCAACTCCCCTTTTCTTCAACCTCTTA